TGTCATGGACAAATACCTGGAGAGCAAAGGCACCACTTAGTTTCTTAATTGAACTCATATTGGCTTTGGATATAGCTGTTGAAAGTATACTACCATGCACAAAGTCAAACGTATTGCCAAGGAAACAATAAATACACATTTCAACATCTTAAAATAGCACAGGGCTCAAGTTCATAATTGATCTCCCTCTCTGTTCAAAGTTTATGAATGAATATGTGTAAGTTTTAGAGATATAACAGCTTCTCCATATTGATAGAGGAGTTCCCTTTCAGATTAATCATAACTTTGATGAGGCAAAAAGAGGAACTAAATTGCATGTTCCTGAATTTGTGTTTAATTTACCCTTGAAAATACTGAGTCAAAAAAGAAACTTCACATTCTTTCTTCAGGGCACTATAAAAGAACAAGAGATGGTAAGGTGGTTAAATTGTTATTATTTCATTGCTGAGATCTGTGTGATGTACTCGATACACTGACAGTGCCATAATCAGTTCCATTAGGCTAAACCACCGTTCCAAAACATGGGTATACAGAATGTCAAGTCACAAGAATAAAAATGCGAAATTTCTCAGTTCAATATCGTGTATGGCCGCCCCGCGCATTCACCACTGCCAAATACCGTCTCCTCATCGACTGCCTAATGCTTGTGAACACATGGTTGGGGATTCTGCGCCATTGCTCTTGCAAGGCAGCGCCAAGTTCCTGCAAATTCTGAGGCTGGTTCCTAAGACCACGAAGCCTTCTCCCAAGTGCATCCCAAACGTGCTCTATTGGATTAAGGTCAGGGGACCTCGATGGCCAGTCCATGACGTTGATTCCAGCGTTTTGAAGGAAATTTCGTGTCAACATCGCGGTATGCGGCCGAGCATTATCATGCTGGAACTGTAGACCTAGGCCATGAAAGGAACGAGTTCAGGGGGTGAGCACCTGGTCGCGGTAAGCAGCAGCTGTGAGGTTTCCACGGATGACCAGAAGTCGGGAACGGTTGTTCCAACAGAAAGCACCCCACACCATGCAACTTCCGCCCCCGAATCTGTCGACTTCCTGTACACAACATTGGGCATACCGTTCACGACGTCGTCTCCAGACTCTATGCCTGCCGTCCGCGAATCTGAGGGTAAACCTGGATTCATCGCTAAAGACGACTCGATTCCAGTCTCTCTGGGTCCATCGGAGGTGACGTTGGGCCCACAGCAGACGTTGACGTTGATGAAACGGCGTCAATATTGACCCACGATATGAACGTCGAGAATGGAGATTGGCAGCCCGCAACCGATTTCGAATGGTCTGTGAGGACAGTCGACCTCTAAACATCTCAGCCCTGGTTCGTGTAGCCGGCAGAAATCTGTCACGTAGGTGACGTAGGACGATTTGACGATCTTCTGCTCGTGACGTCACACGTGGACGACCCGACCTTGGGCAATCAGTAGTGGTGCCAGTTTGTTGTAGTCGACCTCGCAAGTCATACACAGTACGACGGCTGCATCCCATTGCTCTTGCGACGTCAATAACTGATCTTCCCGCTTGCAACATGCCAACGGCACGTTCACGTTGCACATTTGACAATCGTGGCATTTCAAGTACCGTTAGAACTGTGGTTTAAAAGTGTTTTTTCAATTCTTGAGGCCAATGCAAACACGTGCATATGAAGAAAACTTCGATGCGAAGATCACGTGATCGACTGCACGTGCAAAACATGATTTGGCACTAACGTCATTTGCACGACGAATGGATGGGTTTGCGTGGGTTTTGCTAACGTTTTTCTAGAGTCGAAAGATAGGGATCCCATTTCGGATACATAGATGTATCATCAGATAAAAATTATTCATTATTTTTCAAATTACATTTTGTGAACATTCATTTTTGACTCAGTATATATGCTCTGAAAAGCCTTTTATCTATGGTTTTATTTAAATTACGACTTTTCCAGTCCATGTATTAGTAGTTCCATGTGTCCTCTTTGAAAATATGCATATAAAAGTAAACTTGGGTCTCAGTATGAGATTTTAAAAAATTATTCTCTGAAAATTTGAACTTTTTACCCCATAATAGGATTTAGCATACATCTATTTGACTTTTATAACCCATGTATTAGTAATACTTTGTGTTCTCTTTGAAAATATCCATAAAAAGTACATTTGTGTCTCAATATAAATTTTTTTAAATTATTCTCCAAAGATTTTAAGTTTTTTTTACCTTTTCACCCCAAAATAGGACTTCGGATAACATTTATTTGACTTTTCTAATTCAATTTTGGTAGTACCTTGTGTACTCTTTGAAAATATATATAAAAAGGTAAATCTGTGTCTCAATATGAGATTTTAAAATTTATTTACTGTAGATTTCAATTTTTTTAAACTTTTCACCCAAAAGAATAGGACTTAGCATCATATTTCAAGGGAGGACTTTTTAATACTCATTAGTTATAACTTAAACATGTTGAAAACACTCAAATAATTTCTGTACCAATTATTTGGAGGTTTCGTCACATTTTGACTGGACTGTACTATGGCAGTCGTGTTTGTGAAGCCATTCGAAATAGGAACGGAAGCCTGACTCGGTTTTGTGTTTTCATCACAACTCACTCACTCATCACAGGGGACACAGCTGCTTTCCATGGGGTGGCGCCATGATCAAGCCAAGAAAAGATTGCTTGAAATAACAACAGTTGAAGCTAGGCTTTGAAATAATCTAGTGGACAACCTTGTCTTGGGAAGACATACCATAGCATGTTTGTCCATTGAATTACACAGCAGTAAGTATGGTGCCATGTCGCTTTTAGCAATACTCCAGTAATATCACGACTGAGGGACACCAGAAATAGGCCCATGTGCAGAATCGAACCCGGGGCTTCGGGGTGACAAGTGAACCACTAGGCTACCCCTACCGTATCCACAACAGCGTCACAGTGGATGGCCATGTAGTGAAAGCGTTGACAGGCGATCCCAACATTTAGGTTCGATTCCCTACGTGGGTACAATGCTTAAAGTCCATTTGTGGTGTCCCTCGCCGACATTGCTGATACGTCCTGCAAAAGCGGCGTAAAACCATACTCACTCACTTACTAGAAGATTCTCACGTTGAATTATGATCATACTTGTGAGTGAGTGAGTTTGGTTTTATGCCACTTTTAGCAAGATTCCTGCAATATCACGGCAGGGGGACACCAGAAATGGGCTCCACAGATTGTACCCATGTGGGGAATCGAACCCGGGTCTTCAGCGTGACGCTTTAACCACTAGGCTACCCCGCCGCCCCGATCGTCCTTGTGATAAACACATGTCTGCAGATTTATTTTCATCAAGATAAGATACTGGTAACAATAAACTTTTACACTATACATTTGTACAGTAAGAGGCGACTAACGGGATCGGGGCAGTCAGGCTCGCTGACTTGGTTGACTGACTGACTGACTGAGTTTGGTTTTACGCCGCTTTTAGTAATATTCCAGCAACATCACGGCGGGGGACACCAGAAATGGGCTTCACACATTGTGCCCATGTGGGGATTCGAACCCGGGTCTTCGGCTTGACGAGCGGACGCTTTAACCATTAGGCTACCCCACCGCCCCCTTGGTTGACACATGTCATCGTATCCCAATTGCGTAGATCGATGCTCATGCTGTTGATCACTGGATTGTCTGGTCCAGGCTCGATTATTTACAGACCGCCGTCATATAGCTGGAATATTGCTGAGTGCGGCGTAAAACAACAAACAAACAACATGTACAGTACTTTTGAGGCCAGTGCATGTGTTTATGCGTCCGAAACAAGCAGTGATGAAAGACAAAGTTTGCGGTCGATTAATCGATTTATGGATATATAAAACAGGTATTGCGCTGTATAATTGTTTTGTCATATAATGTTAAGACAAATACTGAACTGGTTCAGGCTAGATTAACTTTAATGCTGTAGAGAGGTTCAAACATGAAAAAATAACCCACCAAACTTCTCGATCTGTAATGATTATGAAAATGAACTTTTAAATTAAGAGTGAGTGAATGAGTTAGCCTTTACGCCGCTTTTAGCAATATTCCAGCAATATCACGGTGGGGACACCAGAAATGGGCTTCACACATTGTACCCATGTGGGGAAACGAACTCGGGCCTTCAGCGTGACAAGCGAACGCTATAACCGTTAGGCTACCCCACCGCCCTGTTAAATTAAGTGAGTGAGTCTAGTTTTACGCCACACTCAGCAATATCCAAGCTATATAGCTGCAGACAATCCAGGGATCAACAGCATGAGCATTGATTTACGCAATTGGGATACGATGACATGTGTCAACCAAGTCAATGAGCCTGACCACCCGATCCCGTGAATCGCCTCTTACGACAAGCATGGTTTATCAATTCTAACCCGGATCTTCCATTTTGTCTTGCAACTTTCCAGAAATGTTTGATAGGTTGTTAAACATTTTTCATAAAATATCAACTCGTCATGTCACGTAATTGTTATTTATAACTGTGTCGACTAATTGTAAATGACTTGACATTCTAAACAGGAACCAGTGTCATGTCATTATACCCCTGACACTATCATATGACCAGGGATTTCCTTGTGACTGAAATAAAACTCCAAAGTAATGTTTAACATTAACCAATAACATTATACAAATGCACTTCACATAAGGACCGGGTTCCGTTTTGATGGGCAGGTGATATGTACACGGAACAATGTGTACTAGTTGAACAAGGAAATATTAGGTTTGTTACATCATTGTGACAAAGTTGCAATTGTTGAGTGAATCACAATAACATAAATAGTATTGTGCATATGACAGGTATACCGTACTATATTGAGACCAGTCGATAGCATTTGTCAGTCAAGGGAATCTATTTCTGTGCAGTTGGGTACATGGAGCACGGCGCTCTACCGCAAACCCACAAAGCTTGTAACGGAAAGCGGGAACGTGATTGGCTGAGGGGCGGAGCAACGACGGATGATTGACGTCCCAATGAGATAGGCGTGAGGTGGTCTTATCCCCAAACAGTCGGAAGCGGCGAGGACTGACTCTGCGTCAAATCCGATCAGCGTGGTACGGATACAGGATCGAACGTAGTGTAGTAGGATATTGTGCTGTGTCTCTTATGGGATTAGACTTTATCGAGGCTGGACGCTACGGAGTGACACTATCAGTGGAATACATTGCATAGTGACAGTGACAGTTGCACGTGTGGACAGTGTCGCCGACTTGTACATTTCAGCACTTGGGAGTACCTGCAGGACTTCCCAGTGACAGTTTGGTTGAGAGTGTGAACGGTAAGTTGATAGTGGCGACAAATTAGGATTAAATCCTACCGCGCTAATTGGAGTGCGGCGGTTGCATTTTGACACTTGATCGCTAATCAGGGTTTTGTTTTTATACTTAATTAACTAGATGATAAGATTAGTTAGATAACTTTAAGGAAACTATACTCAATTCGGATGTGAGAAATATCCGAAGGTTTTGATAGCCACTTTTCAAAACCCACCAGGAAAAGTTATCGATCCAGCGTCAATGAATGTACAAGGGGTTAGAATAAGACAATTTTGATAAAAGGGATCCATATAGATATATAATATGCAATTTCTTCGGAAGAATACATATGTAATCCATTTTAACCGTCGCTTGTGAGAGCCAAATACAAAGTACTTGTTTTCCTTATCCAAAGTTGTCGTATTCAACGCAACCGCTTTATCAACATAACGTTTATGTAACAACGGTTAATTGTTGATTTCAATCAGAAATCGTGGTTGTCGTTTTTACCACTTGTTTACTTTAAAAGATATGATCTGAACTTCGTTCTAAAGAAAGATATACCACTGGTATGGTAACTGAACTCTCAATGGATCCTTTGACTGGTGTCTTATCAGAGGCAACTTTCTACACAGAGCAGCAATTTACGCAAAAACACGATGTATATGAAATGTGAGACGTTGATCTGACAGGTCTTATACCCCTGAAAAATATTTAGAAATATAAACAGAGATGTTACTGTAAGATTATTGGTAAAACAAACAGCCCTGAATGCTAGGTCTGTGCTGGGGCCAAATGCTAGTCTGTACACCTCTACAAATAAGCTTGTGTGAAAGATGATAAGGATAAGTGGACCTTAAAGGTATTCAATGAAGGGATTATATAGTATATTCTTGAAGTTATGAATAAAAATATATGGTGCAAGTTGAGAGTTTGACTTTTTGGTCTTTAGGGGTGTATTCTTGTTTGTGTAGTGGTCAGAGATTCTGGGTTTGGGAAAGGGAGTGTCTTCAGAATTGGGCATTTTAAGGGAGGAGGGCAGTTGTACGATTAACTGGGTAGAAAGAAGAGAAAAAGTGAGGTTCTGTGACATACAAAGAGATGATGGTGGGTGGTGGGGTGGGGGAAAGGGTGGCAGTGTTAAGGCACAGGATACAGAGAACATGGTGGGGAAAGAGGTTTTGGAAGGATTGTAATGGGAAATGATCTTGGGATCATGGGAAAGTGGTGAGTGATGTCTATGCTCCAGGTTCTTCGACAGCATTATTTGTTGGAGGTTTGAAAGTTTTGGAGAAAGTCTTTTGGAAACTGTATAAGGAAAAGTGATTTGAGAAAGAAGACATCACTGTTGGAAGTGATAATGTTTTGCGAAGGTGGGGTAACAATGTTTTAGGACGACTGCACAGAATGTTGTGTCAAAGTATTGGATAGTGATTGAGGAAATGGTTGTAGGAAAGTGTTAAGAGAGACGACTCGGAATGTTATGTCAAAGTATTGGTAGAATAAGAAACAAAAGTGTCTTTCTGAGAATGTAGTAATGAAGTTAAACATATAGTGAGTGAGTGTGTGAATGTAGTTTTACTTCATATTCACCAATAGTCATCTCTGTCACAGCTTTACAAGGAAGGTGTGCGAGTGAATGTAGTTTTACTTCATATTCACCAATAGTGTGCAAGGAAAAGTGAATGTAGTTTTACTTCATATTCACCAATAGTCATCTCTGTCACAGCTTTACAAGGAAAGTGTGCAGTACAAGGAATGTAGTTTTACTTCATATTCACCAATTCACCACAGCTTTAGTCATCTCTGTCATCTCTGTCACAGCTTTACATGGAAAGTGTGCGAGTGAATGTAGTTTTACTTCATATTCACCAATAGTCATCTCTGTCACAGCTTTACAAGGAAAGTGTGCGAGTGAATGTAGTTTTACTTCATATTCACCAATAGTCATCTCTGTCACAGCTTTACAAGGAAAGTGTGCGAGTGAATGTAGTTTTACTTCATATTCACCAATAGTCATCTCTGTCACAGCTTTACAAGGAAAGTGTGCGAAAGTGAATGTAGTTTTACTTCATATTCACCAATAGTCATCTCTGTCACAGCTTTACGGTGAATGGAAAGTCATCTCTGTGCGAGTGAATGTAGTTTTACTTCATATCTGTCACCAATAGTCATCTCTGTCACAGCTTTACATGGAAAGTGTGTGAGAGTGAATGTAGTTTTACTTCATATTCACCAATAGTCATCTCTGTCACAGCTTTACATGGAAAGTGTGCGAGTGAATGTAGTTTTACTTCATATTCACCAATAGTCATCTCTGTCACAGCTTTACATGAAAGTGTGCGAGTGAATGTAGTTTTACTTCATATTCACCAATAGTCATCTCTGTCACAGCTTTACAAGGAAAGTGTGCGAGTGAATGTAGTTTTACTTCATATTCACCAATAGTCATCTCTGTCACAGCTTTACAAGGAAAGTGTCACAGCTTTACAAGGAAAGTGTGCGAGTGAATGTAGTTTTACTTCATATTCACCAATAGTCATCTCTGTCACAGCTTTACAAGGAAAGTGTGCAAGTGAATGTAGTTTTACTTCATATTCACCAATAGTCATCTCTGTCACAGCTTTACATGTAAAGTGAGCGAGTTTATGTAATTTTACTTCACATTCAGCAATATTCTCTCTCTATCACAGCTTTACATGGAAAGTGAGCAAGTGAATATTGTTTTCCCCACGTTCTGCAATTATTTTTCACAGGTTTACATGTTTTTTGAGTGAGTTTTTGTTATATATACCCTGTGACGATCCGAGTTAGGACTGCCGCTGTACAGCAGGAATATCGCTGAGTGTGGCGTTAAACAACAACCAAACAAGCATTACTCCATATTCAGCAATATTCTAACTCTAACACAGCTTTACATGGAAAATGAGTGAGTTGATGTAACTTTACTTACACATTCAGCAATATTTGAGCTTATTTCATAATGGTATCAGGACAAGATTATGGTGATCAATATTTTTCAATAATTGCTTCCAAGCTTCTTATGGCAGTCTTCCTCTGGGGTTTGGGGTTAATACGCTCTTCTGGGTAGTGGGCCCATGCGGTAGGAAATCTTTAACATGTAACAATAACATATAACTTGGTGTAACCCAATCTCACTTTAATCCATATCATATGCTTAAGTACTTTGAGTTAACATTAATCATGTTACGGAAGTATAGAGTTGTGTTATCAAATTGGGCTTTAACCTGTATTTGATCTAGGCACTGTGTTAAAGACATTTGTGTTTGATTACCTCTATTACCGTGATGACTGACTGACTGACTGAGTTTGGTTTTACGCCGCTTTTAGCAATATTCCAGCAACATCACGGCGGGGGACACCAGAAATGGGCTTCACACATTGTACCCATGTGGGGATTCGAACCCGGGTCTTCAGCGTGACGCGCCAACGCTTTAACCACTAGGCTACCCCACCGTGAAGAACCAGAGACCATATAATAGATCTATTTTATGGTCTCTGGTTGGACTCAAATATGCGAACAATTTCTCAAAGCATGGTTTGGAAACGCCATTTAATGTATCTTCATATTTAATGTTTCATGCCAACAACAGTCCATGTACATGTATACATTTTATTTGTTGATGAACAAATTCTTTAAAGGATAATTAAACTAATTCCCACAATTTCATTATGCAGATTAGTATAACTTCCGAATAAGTTTAGTTCTAAACTTTTTAAAACATATCACAACACTTTCACCATCAGCACATCTGAAATTTAAATCTTCACTTTTATAACCATATTGGTCTTCTGAAAACTTCACATTTCCAACACTTCAAATCTCATATTTGTAATATTCCCATGTTTGTTCTTTTCTTTCAAATCCTCAAAGTCATTCTGTAACAATGAAAAGTTCATAACAAACACATTTCGAAGGCCATCGATTGCTTCAACAATGTCAGATATTGATTTCCAATGCTCAGAGAACAAAGATTTACATTTTAATGTCTTCATATATGTATATTTCACAAGGAAGCCAATGTGTCTATTGCATGAGTGTAGGAACGGGGCAAGCAAGAGCAAGGAAAGTATACTTAGTCATGCTATGGTGCTGTGTCATGCATCACTGACAGCATGTGTGGGAAGTGAAATGTACACTCAGATACGTGATGTTATTGGTTTCACGGCTCCTCTGATTGATATGTTTTGAATCACTGAAATAACTTCTATGTTTGTTTTCCTGGAAAAACAGTGTAGCTTTTGAAATATGCTTCAACAGATATGCTGTATCTGATTTTTTTTCGGAAAAGTAAAAGAATCGTTAAATCAGGACTAGCTTCCTTGACATTTTCTCTGCATCAGTGAAATGAACATCAATTTGCAAGACTGCTGTAAACATGAAATAATTTGCATAATAAAAATTCTTTTCAAACCATCAAGATAATCCAACACATGAGCTTCCATTTAAATAACAAAAATTTCAAATGATTTGAAATTTTAAGATTATATGTTCCATAGAGGACTCAAGTTCATGCACATAAATCACTAGAATGAATGAACGTGAAATGCATTCCAAAGTGTATGTAGGTTTAATTAGAAATGTCACAATTTTGAAAGCTATGTACGAATATTTAGTGTGTATGCTTTACACAAGTTAGCGCCACAGGAACGCCACAGGAACGTAATTTGTAGCACTGGGAACAAGCCATTTCAGGTGTTTGTATTTGGGTTTGACATATGTTTCAGTTTACTCTGAAATGTTTGGATGAAGCTTTACATCAATAACAGATGTTTTTTTTCTTTCAATCTTAGTTTTCTTATTTTCAAAAGCCATCAAGAAATGTCTTTACCTTTCCTGAAATTGAACATTCAAGTAAACATGATTGGGTAAAATAAATTTTGTAATATGAGTGAAAATTATTTAAATTTTCAAACTTTTTTCAGTTTGGGTAAAGTAAATTTTGTAATATGAGTGAAAATTATTTAAATTTTCAAACTTTTTTCAGTTGTAATTCATACA